GCGCCCCTCGGACAAAGCACGTGGCCGCGCCGAGCGCCCCACCGCCCGGACGGAAGCTGCTGTGCACACGCACTTCCGGCCTCACCATAGAGACAGCAGCTAGAAGGACTTCGAATCTGGGTCCGCCAAGGCGGTCTTAAAGGGGCCGCAGCCTGAGGAGCGCTGTGTGGGAGGAGCTCCTTGGCGGGAGGGGAGGGCCCGAGGGCGGGCGGAGCGGCCGGGACACCCCATGTTTTGACAGCGCGCTAGGTGCCCGGAAGTGCGCGCGTTGTCCCTTTACTCCTTGGGAAGTGGGTACGATGCCATCCTGTTTCTAGCAGAGAAAATCGGTGCTCTAGAGAAGCTCGCCTGCCAGCAAGGGGCGGGGGCGGAGTTCAAACCCAGCGGTCCGGCCCCAAGCCTGTTCTTTTCACCGCCCTGGTGGAGGGAGGAAGGCTGCAGGGAGGGAGGAAGCTGGCTGTGCCTGCTGGGGAATCTTAGGCTGCCAGAACGTGAGCGCCTGATTGCGGTCGGGGTCTCAGTGGGCAGAGGAAGCCAGGAGCTCTGGGTCCAGTCCTGTGACCTTGGAAGACGCCAGCTCACCATCCTTGTCTTACTGTCCTGCTGCCTTCTGTATGGGGTCACAAGCCAGCAGGTGGCACAGTTGGCCAGAGGGGCTCTTTGACACTCCTAGTGTTTGGGTTTGTTCTTGTTATAGTCTAATCAGCGAGAAATAAGAGGACATCCAGACATAGCCAAGTTTATTGGAGTCTGGGGACTCATGTTTGTCAAAACCCCACAACCCTTAGTGAAAGGATGGATGCTTATAAAGGCAAAAGTGACGGTCACTTCTGGGTTATGGTGATTACGATGGAAACTGAGGAGGGGTTGAGGAGAATAGGGAGCGGACTAGGAAGCTGATTCAGGCTGGGTAACCATTTCTAAGGGCGCTCTCCAGACCTTTGTTGAATGGTCCCCATGTCTCGGGGCAGGGGTCTTGTGACTGGTGGTTACATTGCTAAAGAACATCTAAACAAAAGGGTTTCCGGCTAGTTAGCAAAGACAGACTATGAATCACTCTGTTGACTCTGGGCAAAAGGAGGAAGCAAATATAAGTAAAGTTCAGAGATGGAGGTGCTTCTGCTTCGTTTTCTGCTGAGAAGCAGGGGCGCCTGTTAGCCACGCCCCCCTCCCCCAGTGTTTACACCCACTTTTCTCCAGATTTCTAATCCCTATGCCCTGGCATTTGAATTCATGACTCGGAGTCTCCGGGCTATAGTGGCAACCTCTTGGCTGGCATCCAACCTTTCAGAGTCGGTCTGTACTTACCCCATCCTTTCTTCCAACTACTCATGCCCCCAAATACCCACGTGCTGCCAGCCTCACAGGAGATGGTTTGGACGGAGTCAGGACCAACCGGATTTGTCTTTGCATGGCCTTTAGCCTGATGCTCTTCCACCATGTCTCCCCTCCGAGACCGACGTCCACAGAGCAGGCAGGGACCTGGGCTTCTCCACGGGGGTCTCCATCCTGTGCAGAACCGGGCACCCGTCAGTGCTTGCTGGTGCTCAGTGGGTGTCGGAGGAGGAGGCAAGGCGTTCCTTCGGGGCCTGGGCCATTTTGCTACTTACTGTGTGGTCTTGACCTCAGGGGGCCCTGTTCCTGGGCAGTGAAACCCACCCCTGTTCCCCCCACACCCCCATGCAGTGCTTTTTTAGAAACCCAGTAGTTAAAACAGATAAACTTTCTAAAACTCAACAATTTAGAGGGCAAAAACAAGCTGGGTTCCCTGGCGCATGCACGTCCTCTCAGCTATGGGGATGCTGAGGTAGGGGGATCACAAGTTCCAGACCCGCCCAGGGAACTTAATGAGACCTGATCTCTAGAAAAAACAAACAAACAAAAAAAAAAACACAAAAACACCAATTTAAACAACCTCTGTGTGTGCAGGTGGATGGAAGTTAAGGTGCTAGATCCCACATGGCCAACCTCAAAGTTTGAACCCCAAATCCAGCAGCTTGAAAACATTCTGGGTATGTGTATATGTGTGTGTGTGTGTGTGTGTGTGTGCCCAAAATCCTGAGAGGAGAATGGAGAAGGGACTGTGGTATGGCCATCCCCTCCCTTTCCCGCCCTCTCTCACTCTCTCTCCTGGGTACGCACATGCCCTATAACAAACTGAAAAAGAAGGCCAAGGGCTTGAATAGACATTTACCCAAAGAAGACGTACAGATGGCCAATAACTCCATGGAAAGATGCTAGCATTTCAGTCATTAGGAAAAAGCAAATGAAATCCACAGTGTGATACCATTTCATGCCTATTAGGCTATGATTTCAAAACTGTAAAAATAACACCTGTTGGAGAAGACATGGAGAAACTGGAACTTTCATGCATTGCTGGTGGAGAAACAGGGCCCCTGCGGTGGACAGTTCTTTGGCAGCTCCTCAGAAAGTGAAAGGTAGAGCTGCGTGACCAGCCACCCCACCAGTATGTGGCCGTCCCCAGACCTGGGAGAGGCACTCTGACAGATGCCTGCACACCAGAGTCCAAGCCGCATCACTTACGGTGGCCCACGGTGGAAACTCCCCGTGTGCCTCGTGGGTGGATGAGAAACCAGCTGTGGCCCATCCATACAATGGAATATTACTTGGCCCTAAAGAGGGAGGGAGCTCTGCTGCGTGCTACAACATGGATGAAACGTGAAGACATGCCAAGTGAAATAAGGAGGCAAAAGGATCGTTCATGTGAAACAACCAGAAGAGGCGAATTTCACAGAGACAAAGTAGATTAGAGGATGCCTGGGCCAGGGACGTGGAGGCTGAGAAGTTACTGTTTACTGGCTCTAGAGTTTCTGTTTGGGACGATGAAACTTTTTGGAAATAGGTACAGGTGGTGGCTGCAAACGCCATGAGTGAGCGCCATTCCACAGGCGGTACATTTTTAAATGGTGGACCAGTAAGTGGTATGGTGGTTGAGGGGCTGGACTCCTACATGGCCAACTGTGGTTCGAGTCTTGGACCTGGCAGCTTGCTTTCTCTCTTTCTTTCTCTCTATGGTGAGTACATGTACCCAATAGCAAATTAAAAAACAATCTTAATAAATAATAAATTCATTTTAAAGAAAAATGGCTAAAATGGTATGTTTTACGTATTTTTCCATAGAGCTTCTAATTAAAAAACGGTCAAGTAGAAAAGCTTATGTCATATACGTACATACATATATATATATATATATATATATATATATATGTATTTTTTTAAAGAGGTTATTGCCTTAGGGTGCATGCACTCACCAGAGAGAGAGACAAAAACAGAAGGAAAGTGAGGAATCACCCCCAGGGGGATGGCCGCACAGCAATCCCTTCTCCATTCTCCTCCTGGGATCTTGGGCACACACGCACGCACATGTGCCCAGTGGGAGTTTCAAGCCACCGGATCCAGGACTCAAACCATGGTCGACCACGTGAGTGTTCGGTAACGTAACCACTATGCTATATGTAATACATATTTTAGCTTGCATGCACACACAGAGAATGAGAACATGAGTCGAAGTCCCTCTGAGATACGTCTTAAGTGGAGAGAAAAGCAAAACCCAGACAATGTTGCTTGCTATGCTACCATTTATTTTAAAAATAATAAAAAACAATATTTATACTTTTAAAAAAGAACCTACATACATTAGGCAATTCTATAGTGGAAACAGGACAGGGCCTTGAGTGCCTCTAGGCCCGGAGGGCTCCTGTAGGTACCACGGTCCCCAGGCCCACAGAGCGGGAAAGCCACGGGGCTCTTTCCGGCCCGAGCTCCCGTGGTGCAGAGAGAACATGGCCCTGAACGCGAAGTCGGGAGAAAGTCTGGCTTGCTAGAGAACAGTGTAACTCTAGGGCCAGCCCATAGCCTGGAGGTTAAGGCGGCTGGATCCCACATGGCCAACTATGTGGTCAAGTCCTGGGCCCTGAGGCTTGAAAGCTACACTCCCGCCCCCAAGCCCTAAAGGCGGTAGATGGAGCAGGGATTGTGGTATGACCGTGAGTGGAGTGTTTCTCCTTTCTGACTCTTTGGGGCGTGCAGGTACCCTTGAGCACATTTTATTTTTCAAAAAGCATTGTCTATTTTGATGGAACATCATTCAGCATTGAAAGGAATGCAGTCGGACACAGGCTACATCCTGAGGAACCTGGCAAAGTGGGGCTAAAGGAATGCGGCCAGATGCCAAGGGCGGCTCCGCTGATAAGCAGAGCCGGGACAGGCAGCCCTAGAGACAGACAATGGATCAGGGGTTGCCAGGGGCTGCGGGGACGGCCTGGCATGACCCCTGATGCACGCGGGCTTCCACAAGGTGCTCACTCCTCCGAGCTGGGCAGACATGGCGGGCGTGCAGGTGTGTGCACACTAAGGTGGGCGAGCCAGAGGCGGCCTTTGTTAGGAGCTTCTGCTGGCTGTTTCCGCCGGGTTCCCTCCCGGAGCATTTGGGGTGGGAGCACTCCCGAGAGGAGCAGGGGAGAGGGCATGGGAGCACTCCAGAGAGAAGCAGGGAAGAGGTCCTGGGCAGGCCAAGTCCACCGCATGCTGTGAGTGGTTCAACATGAATGTAGGCCCAGCCACACTGGCAAGAGGGCGGGGGTGGGGTGGGGTGGGGGGGTGCTGTGCAATGGCTGAGGCAGCTCGGGGA